GTGATGGAGAAGAGACGTATTGAATATGTTTACATGTAAGTTAACTTAATTCAATGTGAAAAGGGTAAATATAAATAAATTAGAGCTTGACTATTTAATTCGATTATTATCAATTTTATAAAAAAAATATATATGTCATGGATTATAGTCTTTTAACTATGCTTTTTAGTGGGGAAAAAACTAAAAAATTTTGATGGAGTAGAAAAATTAAATATAATTAAGTTTTACATTTGCTATAGTCTATTATGTATTTAGCTTTAAAAAAATAACCTAAAACTTTGGGATGGTGAAAAACAATATTGAATATATTTAGGTGTAATATACAATAAGTCAATGTGAATACGATGGATATAAACAATATTGAGCTTGGTTATTTTATTTTAATTGTTATGCATATGTATAAATTATGGACCATTCATTTGTAGTCTCTTAACTTAGTTTTTTAGAGGTGAAGTGACCAAAATTTTGGTGATGGATAAGAAGAAAAACATAGAAATTTGTTACATCTATTATATCATAATACCATGTGTTATGGTGAATACAATTAACATTGAGATTGAATTTTTAATTTTAGTAATTAACCATGTAGATATAATTTTTTTGTCATTCATTTATAGTCTTTTAACTCTAAGGCTTTCTGACGAAGAAACATGAAATTTCGTGATGGAGAAGAAACATATTGAATATATTTACATCTAATTTACCTTAATTTAATGTGAAAAAGGCAAATATAAATAAATTAGAGCTTGATTATTTAATTTAATTAATATCAATTTTATAAAAAATATATGTCATGGATTATAGTCTTTTAACTCTGTTTTTTAGGGGGGAAAACCCCAAATTTTTTGTGATGGACTAGAAAAATAAAATATAATTAATTTTTTACATATACAATAGTCTATTAGGGTTTTTGCTTAGCGAAAAAATAATCTAAAAAATTGGGACGGTGAAAAACAATATTGAATATTTTTAGGTGTAATGTACAATAAGTCAATGTGAATACGACGAATATAAACAATATTGATCTCAATTATTTTATTTTAATTGTTATGCATATTTTTTAAATTATGGGTCATTCATTTGTAGTCTCTTAACTTAGTTTCTTAGAGGTGAAGAAACCAAAACTTTTGTGATGGAGCAAAAGAAAAACATAGAATTTTTTTACATCTATTATACCATAACACAATGTGATTATGGTGAATACAATTAACATTGAGATTGAATATTTAATTTTAGTGATTACCCATGTAGATATAAGCTATTTGTCATTCATTTATAGTCTTTTAACTATGTGGCCTAGTGACGAAGAAACATGAAAATTTATGACAGAGAAGAAACATATTAAATATATTTACATCTAATAAACCATAATTCAATGTGAAAATGGTAAATATCAATAAGTTCTGGCTTGATTATTTATATTAATTAATACAAAATTTATAAAAAATATATGTAATGGATTATAGTATTTTCTTTTGGCTTTTTTGTGGGGAAAAAACTAAAATTTTGTGATGTAGTAGAAAAATAAAATATATTTAATTTTTTACATCTGCTATAGTCTATTACATTTTTTTGCTTAGCGAAAAAATAATCTAAAAGATTGGGTTGGTGAAAAGCAATATTGAATATTTTTAGGTGTAATATACAATAAGTCAATGTGAATACGACGAATATAAAGAATATTGAGCTTGGTTATTTTATTTTAATTGTTATGTATATGCATAAATTATGGACCATTCATTTGTCGTCTCTTAACTTAGTTTTTTAGAGGTGAAGAAACCAAAATTTTGGTGATGGAGAAGAAGAAAAACATAGAAATTTTTTACATATATTATACCATAATACAATGTGATTATGGTGAGTACAAATGACATTGAGATTGAATATTTAATTTTAGTGATTACCCATGTAGATATAACTTATTTGTCATTCATTGATAGTTTTTTAATTATGAGGCTTATTGACGAAAAAACATGAAATTTCGTGATGGAGAAGAGACGTATTCAATATATTTACATCTAAGTTAACTTAATTCAATGTGAAAAAGGTAAATATAAATAAATTAGAGCTTGACTATTTAATTCAATTATTATCAATTTTATAAAAAAAATATAAGTCATGGATTATAGTCTTTTAACTATGCTTTTTCGTGGGGAAAAAATTAAATAAAAAGTTCTTCCCAAATCAGGGACCATCAAGAATAAATTCATTCCAGATACCACAAATCATGAAGCATCAAAGATAATTTAAGTTCTTCCCAAAACATACACAAGCACACAAGGTAAGTTTCCAAGTATAGCCGACACAATCAATTAATAACATAAGGAGACAAGGAAACAAGAAAATTCAACCTTGTTTCCTTCTAAAACCTTAGCCGACAACATGATATCATCTTATTTTGAAATCATGGATTTGAACTCATTCAAACACTATAAAAAGGCAGTTGAAACATGCCCACCAAAGACAGAGAGTTACGGTTGAAAATAACAACAGAATATTCACACAAAAAAAAACATCATCACAATTCATACGCAGTTGTAGAGAAAATCCCACACATACATACAATACTACAACAATAAACCATTAGAAAATCACAGGAGAAGGCATCCAAAATAAGATTCATACGCATAAAAGTCACATATCATACACCCACAGAGACGAAAGTGAAAGGGGCTACCTCACCAACACATACAAGTTCAGACAACCATGTTCACAAGAAGAGAAAACGCAACATTGCCCATAAACAACAACAGGAAAAAATCATAAATAGATTGCAGAGCATACCTTTAACCGATGTAAGTCCCCATTTCATATTATTTGTGTGGCCCGAACCATTTGTGTTTGTGTGTTTTGAATGGTTGCCCTTTTGATTTCTACGAAACCTAAATTGTGTCGGAATCCAAGAGGACCCTTTGATAAGGGAAATTCAGAGGGATTTTGCCTTGTGGTGTTCTGCCGATGAAGATCGTGATAGAAAAGAGCTGTAGTGAATACACGAGCGAGCAGAGAATTGAGATGCAATGAAGAGGTTGCAGGCAGAAGAAGAGGATGAGGGACAAGTCGTATGCGATGAAGGAAAGGGTGAAGCTGGGAAGATCGTGATAGAAAAGAGAAGGAGGAGATGTGGTGCGTATGACGAATTTGAATAGTTGAGAGAGGGAGAGATAACAGTTGAGATGAGGTATCGGGAGAGAGAAAGCATGTTGAACATTTTGTTTGAAAATCATACACAAAACCTTTTTTGTGAACTCGGATGGGCTTTTAAGGTCATCAGCCTAAATGTTTTTAACACACCCTTATCTTCCTTTTTGCACCTTCATTTTCTTTTTTTATTTTGTTTTTTTCTCTTCGATTATTTTGGTACCTTTTCTTGGATAATTTTGATATTGTTTTGGTATTTTCTCGTGGTGTATCATGACACTAAATCTTAATGAATTCTTAAATGTTGATTTTAATCTAGTTTAAATTTGACTTTTGATGTTGATGATAGTTAGAATTGCGACAATTTATTTTGAAATTATTTCTAGACCTTGTTGTTGATGTTAATTTTAGGGTCAAGCCCGAGAGCTGTGCTTGGATTATTTTGAGATGCGTTGTTAATATTTGTTTTTCATGATCTTGAAGTACTTAATTGCTTATGGTGATTCACATGTCCCTTTAGGATTGTTCCAGTATGTGATTATTTCCCATCTTGATCACTTAGTAAATTAGACATTAGGATTAATCTTATTGCATGATAATATTAGGCCAGAATGTCCCCTCTCGACCTCAACTTCGTGATCAATCTTTGCTCGACCATATATCTTGGCTATCTATGTTTATTTAACAATTTTTTATGGTCCTCAAATATTTATAATTGCTTATGTTCACGTCCAAGGGAGGAACCTGCACATGACTTCATAAGTCGTTTACACTGCATTATGCATCTGCATCATTTCCCCGCTCGATCCTTGACTTTTCAAGTTGACCAGCTTAAGTTTCTGTTTGTCTCTAAGATAGATGTCCTTATGTTTTCAACTTAGACAAACTTATCAATAGATTAAATCCCCTATTCTCCTCATAAGAGAATTAGACGTGGTTTATCTGTGTAATCAAGACATATTTCTCCTACCCCATAACATAATTGAGAAAGATGTAGCATCGTTTCCGCTTGAGAGAGGTATGTGGTATATTCGTCGATAAAAATTTGAATTGGAGCCCTTCTCTCAATGTGACGCAAAGACCGTTTTCTATATTTTTGTTGTGGTTAAGTCGAATATTCTCCCTAAGATGACGATTCGTCTCTTCTACTAGAATCCATCAACAAACCTTTATCCCCCTGGAACTTCGACCACAGTCAATGGTTCCTCAAATCCCTTTAGGGGAACTACGAATGCTCTGATTCCATTACCGTCAAGATACGTAGGCACAAGATGTGATGTCTTGGCGAACATACTTAGAAATAAACCCTTAGGTCTATTACCCTTAGCCAACAATAATAACACATACTAACAAGAGGTTCCTGTATAGTACTACAGATACTTAGGATGCTAACACCTTCCCTAGGTATAACCAACCCCCGAACCGTAGATTCTCTAGCTTTACATTGCATTGCATACTCATGGTTATTCGATCTTTTCCCTTTCCCTTGGACAAATTAAAGACCGGTGGTGAATAACGATTTTTGATTCAAGTTAACCAATAGCTTGATATTCAATTCTCAACGCGACACATAGTCCTAGGAATGACCCCTTTCCTAGTATAGCCTTTGAGTAACTCATAAGCCAACATAATGTGATTATTAATATTCTGACCTGACACAAATGTTGCCTGACAAGGACTGATAACACTTTGAAGAACCTCTCATAATCTATTAGTCAGAATTCTAGCAATAATCTTATAAAAAGTTGTACACCTAGCTATAGGCCTATAATCCTTTATCTGACTAACATTATCATTCTTAGGAATCAAAGTAATGACAGTGCTATTAAAAGCTTTGTATATGGTACCTGTGTTAAAATCTATTTCATTGCAGCAATCACATCTTCTTTTATAATTGGCCAGCTGGATTTGAATAACCTAGCCCCATATCCATCAATCCCAGGTGCTTTCAAATCACCCATGCATTTTAAAGCTTTAATGATCTCTTGCTTGGAAACAGATCTAATCAGATTCTCTCTTTGCTCCATGTTCAACTGATTTTCGATTCTCATAGCCTTTATATCTATATGTTTTAAGTTGTTATCCTGCTTTCCCATCAATTGACTATAGAACTCTAACACTTCCTTTTCAATCTCATGGTGAGTTGTAATAATAGAGCCATCATATTTTTGAAGGTAGTTCAGGCACTTGGCATTTTGCTTGGCTTTTATGGAGGAATGGAAAAAGGCATTGTTTCCATCCCCAATCCTAAGCCGCTCTATTTTTACCCTTTGTCTCAGACTCTTCTCCTCAATATCATTTAGAGACATAACCTCCTCTATACACCTCTTCACCTCTTCAATGATTTGACTATTCATTTTGTCACCAATTAAAGCAGTCTGAGCTAGATTAAGCTTCTCTTTAGCTTCCACCAGTTTCTGCTTCAAATTGGATAAAGGCCTACTGAATCTTCTCAAAACAGATTATAATCTCTTGATTTTAATCCATAAGGCATACATAGGGCTGCCTCTGATGGATTGGTTCTAGCTATTCTTCACAACATCTATAAAACCAGGAATTTCCACCAGACAATTACTGAACCTGAAATGTCTCCTCATATTCCTATTTTCATTCTTGTTGTTTACATAGAGTAAGGCATGATCAGAAATGTTAGGGGGTATAATGTGCAATGTTGACTCCATATTATCTTGGAACTACTCAATATTACCCAACAACCTATATATATATATATATATATATATATATATATATATATATATATATATATATATATATATATATATATATATATATATATATATATATATATATATATATATATATATATATATATATATATATATATATATATATATATATATATATATATATATATATATATATATATATATATATATATATATATATATATATATATATATATATATATATATATATATATATATATATATATATATATATATACTAGAATAGATAGTTCCCACTTCATGCTTATTAGACCAAGTAAAGTGTCACCCATAATGTCCATCTCACTTAGACCAGTATTAGTCATCATATTCTGAAGATCCTCATACTTTTTTCAGTTACCATACTTCCTCCAATATGATCTTGAGATTTGGCTACATTATTAAAGTCTCCCATCACACACCAAGGACCTTGTAAATTGCCATAGAGATGCTCAAGTTATTTCCACAGGATCCTCCTCTTATTCATCTGGTTATGGGCATAAACAACAGTCATCCAATGGATATGCTGACTAGAACTATGAATAAAATAAATATCAATTTCGTTGTTATCCCACCATATCCAAATCCTACCATTCTCACGGTCTTTGTAGTTATCAATGAAATTATCAGTCAAGTGCAGTTTATTCCTGATAACATTTTCTTTACTCTTCTTAACTCTAGTCTCTACCAATATGACAATTGCAGGCTTAAGCTCAAGGAGACGTGAGCTAATCTCCCTTAGTTTACCTACTTTATTGAGCCCCCTAATGTTCCAAGAAACAATCATGGGCCTCTATCTGTGGCCACTAGATGGTCATTCAAAACCTTTAGAGCCTCAAACGCATTATTACAATTAACACCAGATGAGGGTTTAATACATATACCTTTGCCTTTATCCTTTTTTTCACCATTGTCCATGACTGCCCATCATCTTCCACAGTTACTTGGCTTTCAACTTCATGCTTTATGGGGGTTGACACTTTCATTTCCTCAGGTGGCTTTGGTTTACGTCTCCATCTCTGAGCTTTAGCATTTCCTCCACACTGATGACCTAGTTTTTGACATTTTTTACAAAATGTTGGCTTCCATTCATACTCCACCACCTGCTTCATCAAACCACCCTCACATTTTCTAATAACCACCTATTGAACCAATTGTTGAGTGATACCAACCTCAACTAATATCCTAGCATAAGATACACGTAGTTTACTTGTTGTGCATTCATTTATCACTAGGGGTGCCTATGGCACTTCCAATTTTGCTTAAGCTTTTTACTCCCCATAGATGGAGAGGGAACTTAATCCATATTGGAAGTGTACACAACAAATCCTTCTTCAGGTTGAAATCAGGCCTCTACTCCTTCAACAACATAGGCATGTTTCTAATGGTATAAGGTTCTTTCATCATTATCGTGTTTGTGTCATCATGAGAATTGAATCGAAGCAAGAAATACCCTTCATCATGGTAATACAGATCCGACATCTTCACAAAATTCCAATTCTTCTACATAAAGTTCTTCGTCGTGTTCATGCTTAGATCTTATCCCATTACATATAGAATCAAAGCATTATCTCAAATTCACATCCTCGATTCAATGTCTTCTTGTTAAATTTCAATTTCCACTGTTCCATTGACAATCTTTGATGCTACATATTCCATTGTAAGACCTTTAGCAGGGTTTCAGTTATCACTGAGATCATCAATCCACAGTTTTTGCTCCTCCATTATCGTCTTATCACTATCCTCCTTTAAGATTTTCATGCTTTCACTTAGGTTTTCTCTCACATCGCTTATGCTGCTACCTCATCGATCTTGTTCAATCTCATTGCCTTCATTTTGAATACTCTCATCTTTCGTTTGAGCCTCCGATAGAGGTTGATCCACCAGTGGCGGTGGCACCGTAGACTTTGGCCGCCCTCGTCCCCGCTTCATCATCAGAGCATTATAGCATCAGAGTGAGGCAAATAAAAAAATATTATATTAATTTTCAATAAAAAACAATTATGTTAAGACAACGAAGCTCTTTGCATGGACAATTTCTTGATAAATTCGTCATTTCGACTAACAGGTTTTCTAAATAACTTCATCCCCAGCAACGACTTCCAATGTCTGATGAGAATAAATTCTCACAAAGTTTACTACTATCACATTAAGATTAAAAAATTTCAATCTTACAAATATTCAATTCAATATCTAATCCTGACCTGAATTTTGAATGATGTTAATGGTTTTAGCCACCTTTTGTTAATCCTCTAGAATGGTTTCATCATCAAGATACCAGACATGAAGAAGAAGCTTACAATTGTCTATAACCTAATGAATGAGTGACTCTAATGGATCACCTTGTTGCACTCCAGAGGCAATAAACTTTATCAAACTCGTGTGACATCTTTCTCCAAGCCAAATTTTAAGAAGTAGAGTGATTGCATATAAAATATCTCTTGCCACACCAGAACCTTTTCCACACAGTGTGTCTAATATATGTTAAAAACGCAACCCATCTCTATCACATAATGTCCCTTTGGGAAATGATTTAATGCACTTGAAGATAGTATTAGCATCAGCCAAATGGGGAGCTTCAGAGAACAAGGTGGTCGACATGGAGAGATGTGGTATGAACAGGTGCTTAGCATTTAAAGCCTTCATTATTATAGGGGACACTTTGAATGACCCTGACACATTTATATTTGTTGTGAAATGGGCATCTGCAACCTTACAGAGGCATTGTTTGACATTAGATCTCATCATTTTTTATCTTATTCCTCAATATAAACTCCCCTATGATCCAAGTTATCTTTCTCAGAGCTTCCCAACATGATATCAACTAACTTGGAAAAACTATATATGTCTCTCTAAGTAGATAAGCACTCCAAAATGTGATGTTATTGCAAGGACTTTCGATTTCTAAATATGAGATCCCTCATATTTTGAGACTTAACCACTTATAAAGTACAACGAGGAAGAAGTAAAAATTGATACCAAACATATATTAATCCATGATCAATAACCACCTTATAAAAAGCATCTTTTAATGCCTAAGAGAAAGTAAGACGACACCTAAAAGTATACACTTCATGGTGAAGATAGGTGTTGTAAGGACTCTATATAATAACATTGCATCCTAAACAAGCTAGAAGTTTATTTCAAAGTTATCTGAGTCTATTGTAGATGGTTTAACAATATCTACAATATGATTTTCGACCTCCCATGTCCCATGAGTAACACGAACTAGACCATTAGGATGATGACTTGCCTGGCTCATGGCATGAATACTCATACACCTTCCATATAACGATTGCTCAACCACCCTCAGAGACTCCTCTAATGCCATAAATAAATCCAAATAATTCTCAATTCCATTCCGTATTAAACTTTCCCATTCGTCACTACATAGATGTAGCATCTTAAAATGAGACACCATATGAGGAATACCCTTGCTCCTATTCTTACCATCAACACAACAATGAAACCCTCAAAATGGACAATGTAAACCTCCTATTTGAGTAGAAACCATTAGACACTGCAAAATTGTGCTTCTCCTTTACTCAATATAAAATATGTTTAGTTAAGGAATTTTAACAAACACGTGGTGGGCAGCAGCAAAAGAGAATTTTGTCATGGTTGTGTTTTTGTTTTGCTCTACATCATTGAAACATGAAGTCTGTCGCGGTGGGAATCAGAGACCATAGCTATTGAGTTAGCTAGTCTTACAAAACATAGATGTCACCACCGATCTTTAATTTATACAAGGGAATGGAAAAAAGAACGAATAAACCCATAAGTATGCAATGCAATACAAATCAATAAATAGAATATAAGGTTCGGGGGTTGGTTATACCTAGGGAAAGTGTTATCATCCTAAGTATCTATATTACTCTATAGGAACCTCTTGTCTTATTGTGTTATTTGTTAAGTGTTTGCTAAAGGTGAAAAGATGGTAAAGTAAAAGAAAAAGTGGAAAAAGAAAAAGGTAGCTCCCTAGGATCTCACAATCCTATGCTTGCGTATCATGTATAGGAAGTCAGAGCAATCATAGTTCGGTAAACTACAGGTGAAGGAAAAGGGTGAAAAAGAAAAAGAGTGCTCGCCAAGGGTTGAGACATTGTGCCTACATATTCTCAAAAGGAACTTGAGAAATCAAAGCGTTCGTAGTTTATAGAACCACGAGTAAAAGCAATGTTTGTTGGTTGGTTTCAGGAGAAGAGAAAAGTTATCATCTTAAGAATAATACTCAGATAAACCACCACAAATATGTGGAAGATGGATCTTTGCTTCACATTAAGAGAAGGGCTCTAACTCGGACATAGAATCAACGAGTATAGCACATACCTCTCTCAAGTGGAAAAGAAGTCAACATCCATCTCAATTATGTCATGGGGTAGGAAAATTACATCTCAATTAAAGATAACTCAAGTCTAATCCTCTCATGAGAAAAGGGGCCTAATTGTAGGTTATCTGAAGTTGAAATACCCTAAAGGAAACTTCCTACGTGGGTCACAACTTAAAGTAAATGTCAACAATCTAAATATATACATCCTAAGGTAATCAACCTAAAGGAAAACAAGGGTCATACAATAGGTGAAAGATGCAAAGGATAAATATAATGCACATGACTATAAAGTCAACCGCAAACTCTTCCCTTAGATTTGAGTATAAACAAGCAACATAAATGAAGCATGAAGAAAAGGACCTCAAGGCAAAGCCAAGGTGAACCACATAAGATAAGAACTCAAGTAGGTCATTAGAAACAACATATTATTTTCAACACATTCATAAGATTAAGAAATAATCACAAGAACATCAAACATGCCTCAAATGATAGTTAAACAAGTGTTAACCACTAGTACATAAGAAACAAGTCTCAAATGAATCAAACAATGAAATTAGGTCAAGAAACCAAGATGGGGAAGTAGCATACTCAAACATCTCAAGTCAAATCAATACTCATATCAATAAGAAAATTTCAATGGGCATCATACTCAAAACATAGACAAGGAACCAAACAAGCAATTACTCAATGTTATCCATAAAAAGGATCAAACATTCATGAGAAGGTGACAAATGAGCAAGAAAATAGGTATTAAAATATGGAAGTCAAGAGGTTAAACATGTCATTCAAGTCATTCAAAGGCATCAAGCATCAAAGGGATTCATACAAGAAGCAATGTTTAAAGATTAGGTTAAAACAAAGCAAAAATCATGTTTAAAACTAACCCTAACTTGTGACATCAATGAAAAATAGGGAAATGGCCAAATAAGTTCAAGTAAGAGGCTCTACCTCATGTACATACATTCAAGAACATGTGTGGAAATGATATCTAAAGGAAACATACAATAACTCATACAAAATCAACCAACAAGCTTGTGGCATCTTACTAGTCGAGCATAAATCGAGAGACACAAAATCAAATGAAAAGAAAACCAATTAGAATCACCAAAGTTCATAATCCACACCCAAACATTATCACATCATATTTCAAAGGTTATCAAGAGATTGGCTCAAGAAAAAGTGTTTAAGGCACCAAGAAACAAAACCATAGTCTAAAGGGTATTATGGTAAACACCTTCACTATTTAATTAAAACTAAAATAAGAAAATAATATTAAAAATAAAAATAAAAATATGATAAATTTTTTAATACATCAAAGTATCTAAAAATATTTTTTGTGGATTTTTAATGTGAAGAAATAATTAAAATAAAATCAAAAGTAAAAGAGACAAAAAAATGGAATAGAGAAAGGGGGTGTAGCAGTAAAAAACAACACAACATCTCAGTTATAAGGCACT